CTTGACCACCATCCAAGTGTGTCCAAGAAGAATATGTTTTTCTTTTAAATTAGACAATAAAACCCCAAACCCATAATTCTTTTTAACAGTAAATTTATTTGCCCTGGGAAATACTGCAATTCTACCAATCTGCTACACAGATTTACTCCTAGAATCTGCAGCCCCTAACTGAGATCTGAAGTGATGTCCTCATCCCAAACATAAAGTTTTAAATCTCTAGACAAGGTACGCATGCTTTTTCTTCTTCAGTCACTCATGAGCTGAGGATTGTTTAAATGAGATCAGTTTATGTCTATCACAGAAGTCAGTATTATTTTATATTTTATTATCCATTATTGTTTATGACTTTTCTACATGAAATACCAATGCCTGAGGATTCCTCTCACATACATTGGCCCATCAACATGTATGTAAGAGAAAAATGCATCAAAAACAAGACAAAGTTTTGAAGGAAGCACCAATATGTCCAGTGTACATCGAGGAACAGTAATTATTCTGGCCATTCATCACTAACATTGTCTCAGCACAGCAATACTCCCCTCCTCTCATCCAGAAGGTTGGGACAAAACTGTTAATGTGATATAGCAGAACTTTCCGTAGTTTCTTGGTGAACTCCTCTGTATTCAAGTACACTAAGACTTACTTCTGTGTAACTTGCTCTTTTTACCAGCATAAATAGGAAGCACACGTGTAAAAGGCAACCAAAGTATTTCGCTGCTGTAGCATGTGTGTGCAACGAGCAATGAACCAGCTCGCTCTGGACTGTCGGAAGGTGCAAGCTACGGCAGACAGCAGTTGGCTTCCACCATAAATTTTATGTACGTCCAAGATATTGGTAGTGCTACTTTCAAAGGCAACTCCAGAATGCTTACACATTCCTCTAGAAAATGGTGGGCAGCACTACACTCAAAAGCCAGGCTGCATCAGTTGTGATTTGTTATCCTTTAGATTCTCCAATGCACATCCACTGCTGCACTGCCACCTTCACCTTTCACTGTAACTGGAAAAAGGAAATGCAAGTTAGTACCCTGTCAGAAGCCAACAGACAAAAATGCTAGATTATCTTTGAATTCATTTTATATATACAGTTAATACATTTCGATTGTATTTGATCTGTTCCAACAGTATGAAAGTACATCAATAGCTAACTACAATAATCAAAATGCCCCGAGGACAACTTGTATTAATGCATACTGCTTGTATAAGACTGTCTCCAGGGCAGGTACTAAGTACCTGGGAGAACTCCCCCTTCAAATTCCACCAGCTCTTGATAACCTCAGCATGTTACTCAGGAGTTCTGTAATACACTGGTATATGTACTGGTATTAATCTGTAAGTAATAATGTGCTATAAATAAAATCAAACTTATAATCAAGGGAAGGTATACAGCTGGCAATTCCATTTGCACCCCGATTTTCCACAAGGCTATTATTACCTTCCTTGCCACAAGATCTATTTACTGCTCCCTTAACATTGGTACCATGCCTGCTAAGAATCTGGAAACATTTAGAAGCTGAAGACAAGGCTGATGGAGTGTGCTTTTGTCTCTAATACCAGTATTTATTACAACATGGTAGTAATACCATGTTGTAATAAATACCAGTAAATACCAGTATTTATTACAAAAGACTTACTAAACTGAAAAAAACCACTTTTTTTTTTAAGCAAGGGAAGCTTTTTCACTTGTCAAGAATAATTAAGCTTCAGCTTTGCAGCTAACACAGAGAACTGAGGTGCATATACATGAAGTTTAAAACATTCTGACACAGCCTGTATCATGATTTGTCAGTATCTTTTAAAGGCTCTTAGAATGCTGCATTAAAGACAGCATTTCATCACTTCATTAGAGAATTCAAGACCTCCATCTGGGTCAAACTATAAATTTAAAAACTGACTCCTTGTGGTTTTTTGCAGGTGGTTGGGGAAATGAAGGGGAAACGCTACTTTTAGACCTATTTCCCTAATCCACTTTAGTGGCACACTAGTGACATCAATGATTTTTGAATGAAAAAGGTTCAGTTTTCTTAACCTTTAGAAACACCTATTGTGAAGGGTCCTTTCAGTAAGACTCTAATTTAAATATTTCAACACCCACATCTTAAAAGGAAAACAAAGAAAAGGACAGCATTTGCTGGTTGAAATTTTATCAAGCATCAGAAAAATAAAAAGCTAGTAGGGCAGTAGCTTCTGTTTTACTTAACTACATGCATCCCCTGAACAGAAAACACTCGTGACGATTCTGTATTTTATCTGAAACACATTCCAGTACCCTGAAACAAAGCATATTTTTCCTTTATTATCAAGGTAAGGTCAGCAATTTATCAGGAGTATTTATAAAACATTATTAGCATCTTCTGACAAGGACATTGCACGTTTACTGACACTCTATAGGGAGAATGAATTGCAGCCCAACTGAGGCTACAAACATCATGCAGTATACAACAGAATCTATCCTTACCACAAGATAGAATCTCCCTGGTAAAAGTGACCAGCTATCAGATAAACCAACTATACAAACTACGCTTTTTTACCATTTTAAAGTTGGCTCTTGAAAGTAGAACCTAAGCAAAAAAGGTTCTTACATTTACAGACTCAATAAAGAATTACATAAGGCAGTACACATGCCTCTTTACATAAATGCTTCTCTCGGAAAAGGTAGTTGTCCTTTTCCTTTAACCTGTACTAGATTTTGTCAAATTCTGCACACACTCTAAGTTACTTCCATTTTTTTACTAGCAATTATTTAATGGAGAAATTTTATTTTCCAGAAAGCTAGATTAACGTGACAGCCACTACCACTTTTTTTCTTCTGAGTTTTCAGAGAAATAGGAGCAAGTCACACTTTCACATAAAATTAAAAGACTGCTGCTCTTCAATCTTCTTGAAAAATTATTTTAATAGGGTAGGATTTAGAGCCAAGAAACACAGCTGTTCTACAGTCTCAAACCATTCTGGAGGCACCTGAAGTCTGCAGCTTAATCCCAGGACCTCTACAGAGATCAATTCCTAATCCAAGATTATACTCACTAAAATTGTTAATCCGGCACATTTAACAGGATTAAATTAAACGTCAATACTAACATTTATTATTACAGCTCTGATTTTTAAGGTCTGCTCTTATAAAAACTCATGCTCAGCACTTTCTGCCACATGACTTTTCCTTAGCTGTACTCACATTGGCCCTGTTTTTGCAGACAAGCAGTGTCTTGCTGCCATTCCCAAACTAGCTGGTTTATAAAGCCTTCTTAAGCCTCCTCCTCCAAAACTTAAACAGAAGTCAAAACAACATTTAGCCATGAAGAACATCCATTCAAACCTTCGAACACAATGACCAAGGAACTTCCTTGCAGCTATTACACTGGTTTAATATTTACCTTATGTATTGATACAGGCACCACTCATATCTACTGTCAACAGATGAACCAGCACTATTTCAGTGGTATCTTCTAGAAGTTATCCCCCTGCAATTAAGAGAAGATACAACAAATTGAGAAAAATGTTTTACAGCACAAGTGTTAACCTACAGTAATTGCCCCCATTTCACAACAATGGCACAAGTTTTGTTTGCAGATTATTCAGTTGCAAGTTTTTACTACTTCTTTAAATGGTGGAGGATTCACTCACTGGCTTTGAATGAACTGGAATGGCTTAGAGAAAGGTTGCGTGGCTTATGGATTCTCATTCCTTTTCAATGGTGCACTGCCATGTTAAATCCATAAGTTGAACGACAAAATTTACTGAGGACTAAACAGTAGTACAAAGGTTTTGGGTTTGAGGTTTGGTTTTTTAGTTGGAGATCTTCATGTTTACTATATCCAAGTATCTTTTGAACTTCACGGCTTCACCCAGCTTATAACAACTTGCCACAGACTCTGCCACATGCATCCCTGGGTATCCCTGCAACGCAGTGTCAAACTAAACAGAGTTAGGCATCCAACTAAACATCAACTCTGCATTTCTTGCTTCCAACTCCCAATAGTTGAGCTGATATGTCTCAACCTAAACCAGTTCCTCACTTCACAAGGTTTAAATTTTGTTAATATGCTGCATATGCAGCCTTTTTAAGCATCTTCACTGAGAGATACTGGTCACAAAATACCCCCTCCCCACGCTACATGGCAATACTGTCTACAGTGAGCTGGATTACAGCTTTAGTTTCAAAACTGGTGCCATAAATGCTTTTATCCAAGGATTGTTGAATTTGAAGAATTTCTAATGTATTGGGGAATTTATTTTCTTTTTTTCTTTAATCTATACAGCACTTCCATTGCCATTACATGCAGCTTGTCTTACTGTACTAGAAGAAGTTAACTTGTTTCAATTTTGACTTAGACTGAAAAACTAGTTTGCTTTGCTTACCATCTTTGCTGTTTCACAGGCATTTGATGCTCTTAATCAGCTGTGGAATGCTGAAAGATTCACTTATTTTAGGAAGCCATAAGCCTTTCAGAAGTTGGAGAGAAAGACTTCTTTGCTTATCTTATTTTCTCCTTTGGAATCAAAGATGTTCCTTTAAAAGTGAAACACTACAGAGTTGCAAAAATTTGAAACAGTGTGAGTAAGCATCCATTTGCAGCTTCTTTGATGGAATTGGTCAATGGTTTGCAGATTGTTGTTTTTTTAACAGTATTTTGTAGCTGACTTACACGAACATGATTTTTTTTTTTGCAGGGGAGATCTTTTTAAACTCCCCATGAAACAGTAGGAAGGCAGAATATAGTATTATCCACTTGCTTTTCTGGCTTAAGTGAATGAAATCCTCTATTTCTCTTAACACAAGGATCTGAAGGCATTTTGTACTGGGAATACTGTGACTTCAAATTCTAGGCATAACTGAGCTTTATGTGGAATCATCCCCACCACCCTCCAAATCACAAGCAATACTTTCAGAATGAGAAGCTGAACATGTAGAACAATCCATCTCCCTGTTAGATGGTTGGATGTTGTGTGGAAGATCTTAAGAACAGCTTGTTCCATTCATGACGAAAATCAGATGTAAGTGTGGCATTTCAGGGAAACTTTACTTTGAAAATTACAACACTAGTACACAGCTCAAGCTTATACATTTAACATCTGCTTTCTGAAAGAAATGTTAACAATTTTGAAATGATATTAAACATTGTTTCAACTTTTCTCACAAAAGCATAAAAGTCATGGAGGGAAAAACTTAACAGGCAACAATAAAAAAAGGTTAAAAACAACTTTTCTTTTTAGTAGTCCTCTGGTAGTAAAGATAGAACAGCTTCCACATTTGAGAAATAATCTGTCTTGGTCCAAAAGTTTAAGAGTGTTTTTAGTATCTGCTTCTGCCTCCACCTCTATCAGATCTGCTTCCACCACGGCCACCACCTCTGGGCGCCCCGCGGCTTGAACTACTGTAAGAATCCCGAGGAGGTGGATAGCCCCTTTCCATGGATGGGGGAAGACCCCTGTCTTGTCTTCCAACACGATCACGGCCACTTGAGTAGACATCACTTCTGCTGCTTGAGTAACTTTCTCTGCTTCCATATCCATCTCGTGTGCTGCCGTAATCATCATAGCGACTGCTTCCACCATATGATGGCGGGGGCCCTCGAGCAGGTGGAGCACTACGTGAGTTACCTGCAGGGTCAACGGTCAGGTAATACGGCAACACCATAAGTTATATAGAACAATTTCAAATCTGAATTTACAGAATTGATGTATTAAAATGTTTACTGCTATTCTTTTTATATGTATTGAGATGGTCTTAATATAATCTGCCACACTAATGATATTTTAAGTGGGGATTGCATATGAGGCAGTGAGTGGATTTAGAGATTTTGAAGGAATGAAGACGGTGTTTGTTTATTCAGGCAGGCTCTTTAACTGGATATTCCAGTACAGCTTGTTATTTTAGAGAAGAAATTCAGCCATATTTTCCAGAGACAGCTGTCATTCTGAACTGTAGACTTTGCTTCTTTAGCTTACAGCTTATTAAAAAGACGATCAAATGACAACCAACAACTGCACTTTCACTGTAGGGGAAAAAAATTGTGCCACTTCCCCCTAAAACACAAGCAACCTAGTCAAAGTCAGATGTTATGACATCTGTACATTTATATGATCCTCAAAATGGATTCTTACCGTAACTCTCATATGAATCTCTGTAGGAGCCTCCACTTGGATGATCCGAGTAGTCTCTGTCACGTCCGCCACCGTATCCATCACGATCGCTATAGGAGGAAAGACTACTAAGACTTAGTACAAATCACTAACATTACAGCAAAAATAAAGTGACAGGGAGAAAACTCCAACAGTAGGTACCTATATCCCCTGGAGGGGTATTCATCACGTGAACTGGAATGACCATAATCACGATATGCGTAGTCTCGTGGAGGTGGTGCGTAGTCCCGGGTATCCCTGGAACTGGGATAATCTCTGCTTGAATAACTACAAAGAACAAAAACTGAGATGTTAGCCACTTGTTCTACCACAGAAGATCTGGAATCAAGATCCTTCTCCAAACAAAAACCAGTTCACTAAAATAAAACAGTAGAAGAATTTACCCATCTTTAGTGCTGTAGCCATCATCCCTTGGAGACATGTAGACATCCCTCCGTGATGGCATTGGCTCTCTGCGTGGAGGACCACCGTAACCATCTCTTCCACGTGACACAGGAGCTTCAAAGAAACAGTCTGTTTAATTAGCATTTAGCCAGGCAGAACATTCAAGGCAAATGCTAACAAATAGCTTAAAGCAATTTAATAATATCTCCAGAGCCTACATTTAGAACACTTCACATTTCTGCTTGTACAATTTTAAAGCGGCACTAGACAAAACACATTCAAATAGCACCAAATTGTTCCCAACAGCTACAAAATTATACTGGTCTGAAAGGAAACAAAGGTTAGAGAAACAGTACATCATCCCACAGCAGACTGAAGTCCGAATCAATGATTTGCACCAGTTCCTAAGGGAAGACTAAGGTTCTAGAGCTGACCAAGCAATTAATTTAGTCAGGAAGTCCTCACCTCTTCCTCCCATGCTACTGCTACGCACTGGTCCTGAAGGTGCAGATCTTTTAGGTGGAGGGCCTCCACTTCGTGGAGGTGGACCCCTCTTCATGGGAAGTGGCCCTCGAGAAGACCCTAGAAGGGGAAGCCACAAACCAATTATTATTTCTGTGATACTCACCTGCATTTTCTTAAAGCCTGAACTAGGACAACCTAAAGGTGCCATTATTACCACTACATGATCAACAGTAAATCTCTAAAACTAGTCCTCTCCTGTCTAAACTTCTAAAACTAGACCTTCTCCTGTTTTCTAGCCACTTTAAATGGTACTGGCAGAATTGAGAGCCAAACTTCCCACAGCCTAAATTCCTGTCAAGAACTGTCTTTTAGAACTTATCCAAAAGCCACAGGGTGTGACACAAAGGAAAAAGACAGCTGATACCTGTAATCAGTCACAGCTTAAATGCTTAACAAGTTACTGTTCTCAGAAGAGCTACTTGGGGGGGATGTACTAAAGAAGAGCCTACAGAGAGGGAACAGAGGCACTACTACCGAGTTTGCAGAACCTACTATACAGACTCTTCAAGACAGAAGTTTCACTATTTCCAGGGGTTTTTTTCCTGTCTTACAGCTTTTACTGTTACACCTCAGGTACTGTTTGCTACTTAAGTGAGTTTTGTTTTGATACTGAAAAGTCTGAATAAATAGCTGTATCTTAATGAATATCCAGTATCAAGTAATGTACTTTAGAATGCTTCAACTTAACAAAAAAGGTTTAGCTGCCCTCTCACTCTGATCTGGAAGCATCAGCCCTACAATTTTCTCAGTTTAGACCTCTTGCTATAAAGAATGAAAGGCAATTCCCTTTCCCTGGTGGTAGCGAATCACTTTTTCAACTTGAATACCAGAAAGCTTCCTTTCTCACGTGCAAGGCAGGAGTTCTGCTTTTCTTTCATAGGCAAAAGTCAAGTGGAGTGTTAGTTGTAGAAAGGAATCTTCACATCTGAAAGCCTTTTCTTAAGGTACTTGCCTAATCAAAACTTTGACTAAACTGCCGAGATCGTATTTCATCATTTTAATAAAGAACAAGGAGTGCACTATTCAGGTGTTTGACTTTTTTTTTTCCAGTAGGATTATTGTCATCTTCCAATGGGATTGGTCTTGTGTTGTCGAAGTGTATAATGAGAGAGGTCAATACATACCCAAGTGACTCCCTCTTGAAGGTGGTCCTCTCGCGCCACTTCCGCCTCTTGCGCCTCTAAGGCCCCTGGGAGGACCTCTGCTTCGGGGAGGGGGTGGTGGCCCACGCCTACCACCACTTTCAAAGGATGGCTTGGTTGCTTGTTCCACTTTAATTGCCTTCCCATCTAATGACTAAAGAAGAAGCTGCTTTACTTACTGCTCAGTCATGTTTGTATTTCTTAAATCAAGCCCCTCTTGCTTCACTATTTATAGGGCTTCCATTTTATAAGTTAGAGCAATTCTAGAACTGATTTCAGTCTTCAGTATTAGTCCCCAAGTACTCAGCAGCATGTTGGGCCTAATTTCAATTTCTACAGTACTTCATTCTTGTGGTATTGATGGCAAAAAACCCACAGAGCAGCATCAGAAAGGCCTTTCAGTGAAAACACAAGTGTCCAATGATTACGGCAGCCCCACGTCATTTATTCTGTAAATGAAACATGATATATGATCTATAATTTACTTTCAATTGCCATGTACTTTTGTACCAAACTAGGAGTGCACCTGTAGTTAAAAGATTAAGCTGAAGGTAACTTAGCTTCAGTCGGAATTTCTGGCAATGGGGAGGCCGTTTAGTACATTTTCTTGACGTCCTGATAAAACGGTGATCACTGAAGTATTTAGAAGCAATTTCAGCATCTACACAGCAGACTGAGTAAGCCAATTCACCTCTTTTTTCTAGTGTTTCAAGCTGGGTTTTCAATCAAGGTGACTGTCACAATTTACTCTATTACTTGCTTTTCCACAGGGAAGGTGCTTTGTGGTTGGGGTATTTTTGTTTGTGGGTTCTGTTGCGTGGTTGTATTCTTTTTTTGTGGTATGAAAAAAGTAGAAGCTTTTGCTGGAATACAGATCTGCAATACCAGGAACTCTGCAGCCAATATACCTCAAACGCGAGCAGGTACTTACAAGCTGAGTAATACAACCTAGTTAATCAAATTTCTGGATGATCTTTAAATGCCACATGTTTGGCTATTATAGCACAATCAAGACCACAAGCCCTGCTAAAATTAGGTTATTCCATGCCTATCCTGGCAAACATGGTTTATTTGTCTTTTTTAGCACTTAAATATTTAACTCTGCCCTGACAACTTATTAATTATCAGGCAGAAAGTGTTGTTCATTGCACTTCTTTGCTGCAATAAATGAAGGAATTTAACTGCTAGACTGCTAGTAATGTCTTTATCTACACTGCTAATAGTATTTTATAGAAGCACTTAATATTTTTTGTTCTCTGTCAAAATCTAGCTCTCTGAAAATTCACCGTAATGGTGGATGTATTTTGCCAGCTCAGAGTTGCAGTGATTGTTTAAAAACCTGAGTGTACATACACAGGTTCAACTTGATCCACTGTGAGGGAAAAAAAGTAAGAAATACCAGCAAAATCATATTGGTCTTGGCTTTGACTTAGTGCAATATTTTACTTATGGAAGGTTTCTAAAAAAAAGCCTTTTGGCATGACAAACTGAAATATCCACTCTAATGACTGGAACTTCTCAGTTTGCATCATGTGATTTGCCATTGCAATTAATCTTTAAGTTTCATCCTTCTCAAGCATGAACAGAGAGCTTGAAGCCTTAAGCTTTGCTATGGCCACTGCTGTCCTTCATTTCATGGATAGTCTTGACAGCTTGTTTTAAGTTTAGAAAACAAACACTGTCCCCTTCTGCAAGCATGGGTTTTGAAAACCTGGATGCTAGGTTTAAATTCTTTCATTTCTGTTAGGTAGGAGGCACAGATTTCCTTGTAATTTCTCCTCCTGTTTTCTTCTGCCTTGCACTTAAGCATCTTACCTTGGCAAAAGATTGTTTGTTTGCACACTGCTTTACAGAAATAGTCTTAAAAAGCTATTCCATAGGTCCAGAAAGACCTTTCACTAGATACAAGAATGTATTTTTTGCTAACCAGAAAATATTTGTTGAAGTTAGTCCTATTTCAAAGCAAAGGGGACATTTTATGGTTTCTTAGCTCAAAGAAAGGTCTTACCTCACCAAACATAAAAGTCACACAACCCATTTCAAAATAAGGAAGTTTTTTCAATGAGCTCAAAGCACAAGCTGTCAACATGAACACTCAGTAGCTTATTTTTATAACCTTGATTTTGAGTGTTATAGAAGCATTTTTAATACGATATGAGCACCAAAAAGTAAAGTCACTTTGGTGCTAAAAAGCATGGAAATAATTTAAGCTACAAGTAATTTAGGACAGTAATAGTTTGGCAATCAAAGTCTCCTATGTGTGAAATGAATAAGCTGTACATATTTGTAAAGTGAGACAGGGAATTTCAACCAAACACAATTAGAGAACTATCCTGCAAACTGTTCTACATTTCAACAGAAAAGATGAATGAAATTTGCGCAATTTTGGGAGTGGGGCAAGAAATCAAGTATTTCAAAGAAACTGTTACAATAACTCGCATGAAGCTGGTCCTAGCACCGCACAGGGCTTTCCTCTTCAATGGATCACTTCGCTGCTGATACTGCAATGACTCCATTTCTCCATGTTCCTTGATGGCACATGAAGTGAGTTTCATTTTGCCATATATATCCAAGAAATGAAGATCCATTTCTCAAGAGGCCAAGCTTCTGTACATTGTATCACTTCTTCCCAAAAGAACAGGAAGAACTTTCTGTTAATTACACAATCTTCTATAGTGCTGAGTACAGTTCACGCTGGAGGGATTGTAGCATCTGCTTCCATCCTCTTAACACAGACCAGCTGGCCTGGCAGGTCTACACTGGAATAAAATCTTTGGTTTGTCCTGACCCTTTTTGCCTAAGGTCATATCCTCTCTTTAATTATCCATTTCATCTTAAAGATGCAGAATCAGAATGTCATGAGAACAGCCCACTGCACCAAACAACCATTACAGACTGGAAAGTATCCACATTTATGTCCAGGTAAGCATGTTCATTTTGTGGCATCAGGATGGAGACTTGACAGCCATGAATTAAGATTCTTCTTAAGGCTAGCAAGCTGCTATTAAGTACTTTACATTTCTTTTGCACTGCTCAGACATCATAGCATTGATTGAATTTAGAAGACAAAGTAACTGAAGTGAGAAATCTCCATCCCAACTCTAAAATAATTATCTTGTGATCTCTTTCTGCAGGACAAACTGATCTTCAACGCTTCAACACTTTGACTAGTCTATGCTTGTCTCAGTATAGTGAAATATAGCTGTTCACATACTACCCCTCACCCAAACTGGTGCAAAACTCTGCATATATTTTCATAAACATTTGCAAAATAAAAATCAAATGCAAAGTCATTCTTGCAGAATCTACTGGAGTCAGTCTCTTCTACTGGCTACAACTTCAAATTCCTTTGGGATGACAGAATGAGCAACAGACAGGCAATGCAGAAGTCTTCCCCCAACCAGACAGATCACCTAACTCCTTACAGACTGCTTGAACTGCAGTCTGCACAGTGCTTCTGCTGCTGCTTCTCAGTAGAATTAGAATCTCGGGAATGCTCCAACCCATCTTTTCCAAATGGACAAAGAGACCTTCAAATTGTGATTTATGACAACTGCCTCTTCTCACACCAGGCTTTAAACACTGCTCTTCCCTCAGACCTTGAATGCAGAGTCTTTTTGGAATACAAGCAGTACCTGTTGTCCAGAAGGCTTTCTGAAGATGAGAAGGAGAGACCACCGCATGAATATCTTTCATATCCATGGTCAAAGCAACTTGGACCAGAAGACATTCTAGAGCAAATCCCATCTGAGAATGTTCTTTTCATATACCATTTGCTGTTCCAATTTCAAAGCAGATGAAGGTATTTCCAGATTTATAGTGAAGACAAACCCACGAGAACGATGATCCACAAGGCCGTCCTTTCTAGTGTTTCTTGCCAAAAATGCAGACTGTGCATTCCAGAACAAGTAGACATAACCTCAGCCACACACATTGTCTCATTTAGCTACTTTACCAAGTAGTATTGTCCCAAATATTTCCAATGTGACCAAACACGGGCCTCAACATTCAAGATGTAGAACAGTTGGTGATAATTTTCAGAGGGATTTTGATTTGCAAGCTGCACTCCACAAACACACAGATTAGTGACTGAATTCCTTTCAGTCTGACAATTGCCTATTGGTCCTTGAAATTACCTTATGTGAGGATTCAATGACGTTTTCAGAGAAAATAAATAATTTAAGCACGGCAGTAAACAAGTCTTCAGAACTGTGGCAAACTAGACAGTAGAGAAATAAAATTCAATAAAAGGAGCACCCTGACAGATGTTTAGGCTGGTATAGAAAGAACATCATCTGAATTTGCCACTCTCTGCCTTGACAAAACTACTAGCTTGCTTAAAAGGGAAGGAAGTCTTCTAAGAGAATAACCCTAATTGTGATAAGATTGTCATAAAGCATCCAGAAACATCACACCCTGCTATAACACAAATAACAAGAGGTTTTACAAACCTCTTGTGTTTATGAACACTACACAAAGCTCACTTTCTTATTCCTAAAGTTGTTTTACTTACTGACTGCAACAACTGATATTTTTCTTTCACTTCAACTTCTTAAACAAGACAAACATACCAAAATCCCAAGTGTCAATTAATCACAATCACTCGATGTTTCTTCACTTTACTTGAATGGCATCTTAAGAGACACTGCTTACAAAGCCAGTACAGTGTGACCTAAACACAATCATTCACAGAATGCAGGGAAAACCAGAGTCTGCAATTCAAGAGACCTAAGATGGCTTTCCCTGCCTGAAGAGACAGCACCTTTATAAAGATAAGCAGTTGTTTACCAAAAAATTGCCAACTTACATCTACCTTTTCAAGCACGTGCCACAACAGATACAGATTACAGCAGCCTACAATTCTCTGACAAACTATCCTGGTATTATCTTGGAACCTGTGCTGCAAACGCCTATATTTTTATTTTTAAAGACAATACATATCTTATTGCTCCTAAAGCTACATCCTTGCGTTTTAGGGCATAAATGAATAAATTCGGTTGCTGGCTAACTGCAAAGCCATTGCACATAAACTAGAAAGACGGCCCTCACACAGACCAAGCAGATCAATGATGCAAGGCCTAAATGCAGGAGATTATACTCAGAATACCAGATAGCTCATCAATGCTCCAGCACTCAAGGGAAATCACAGTTACCCATGTTAAAGGAACAATTACTAATTTTCAGGTAAGTCACTTCCCTGAAGTGGAATTTACACAGTATTGCATTCAAATATGATCAAAAAGGAAAATTAACCCAAAAATCATTATTGAAACATGCAAGAATGAAGAGCTGATTCCTCCATCACCGATTAAGGAACAATAAGAAAAGAGAGCATAGCTGACTGCCAGCCAGATTTCCATTTTCTATTAGCAAATCCATGAACAGGAGAAACACGGAGACAGAGACATTTTGTCAAATTTAAAGTCACAACTTGTCTCCACAATTTTCTAATCCATGCTCTTTTCAACTTTTATTACCAGTTGATTTACCCCAAAGATTAATTGTCCTGCTCAGTAGCAACTGCAACACATAAATGGTCTTAATTCCTACCTTTCCATTCATATCTCTGGCAGCATCTTTTGCATCTGCTGGACTCTCAAACGTGACGAATGCAAATCCTCTGGACTTGTTTGTTTCCCGATCTTTCATCAAAAGGACTGCAGAAACAAAGTCACATCAGCCTTCCCTGTAATTCCCAGTAAGGAACACTTAACCTTTATTTAACCTTTTAAGCTCAGAACTTCTTAGAGGACATGTAAGCACCATCATTTCAGATGATCAATGCCAAAAAGTCATCACAGCTATGCTGTTGTTTGTTGTATACTATTGCTATCTTAAGAAAAGTTCTCTTTACCTTCCACAATGCGTCCATATTTGCCGAATACAGCCTCAAGGGCTTTTTCATTAGTCTCTGTGTTCAGGCCCCCAATGAACAGCTTCCCAGGACGATCTGCTTCAACCATTTTGATTCTGTGAATGACCTACTAAAAAGAATGAGGCCATTATTAACAAAATATCAGACTGCAATAGTGACTTCATGGTACATAAATTACTTCTGTCCTCAAACGTACAAGCAAATTTTCTTTAGAAAGATATTAAGTAAGAAATATGAGGTATAAAAAAAAAAAATCAAGTAATTACAATTTTTTGCAGTGGAAGCAACTCGAAGTAGTATTAACAGTTACTTCTTCACATTATATAATATATTCAAAAGATATTCAATAGAAATTTGAATAGTGGAACAAGGCACTGTTAAAATGAAGCAATATTGGTGAATGTGAAAACTCTTCCAGAAGTGCTGTTCCTTTTGTCCTGGACGTTTTAAGTAATTTGCTTAATATGTCAACGTAATACAAAATTGTTAACTCTTCAGAGCATCTTAGGCCAGTGTTTTTAAATTAAGTTCATTCTTTGTATTATTTAAAGTACATGGAGCCTATGCTTAAGTCCTGGCCTACACAACATGAGAGGCTGAACTGACACCAGACCACCACTGCAGTTCTACACAGCAATGTCACTGCTACAGTCGCGGGAGGGCTTAAAAAGAAAAAAGCCCAAGAGCCGAAGACAAAGCCAAACCCCCCGTGCCTGGCAGACCGCCCGGCGCCTGCGGACAAGCGCTGCCCGCGTGTCTCCAGCGCGATGGCGGGAAGGCCCGCGCCAGCTCCGGCACTCGCGGGAGCGCGGACAAAGCACCCCCGAGGGAGCCGCGGCGGGGCCGAGCCGGGCCGCACGGGGCGAGGGTTCAGCCGCGCTCCGGGCACGGTGAGCACGAGGGGCGTCGGACCCTCCGCGGGCTCCGGCACCGCCACAAAATGGCGGCCACCTCTGGCAGCCGCTCCGCTCCGGCCCCGCGCCGGCGGCCTCCTCGGCACTCACCCACCGCGCGACTCAAGCCCGTCCACACACATCGCCGCGGCGCGCCCGCCATGCCTCCTTCGCCCTCCCCCGGGATGCTCAAGAACCCCCGCACATAAAATGGCGGACACCGCGCCTCACACCGCCAGGACCCTCCTCGCCCCACCGCAACGGCGGGGGTCCCGCCGTCTTAACCGGAGCCGGGCAAGAAGGGATTGCGGGCCGGGCCCGGCTCCGCCGTGCCTCTGCTCCGCCGCGAGCGGCGCGCCACGCGGCCCGCGCCCCACGGACCTTTCGCCACGGGTCTCCGCAGCGTCCTGCGGTGCCGCCCGCAGAGCCCTAGCCCGCAGCAGCGCTCACCTCCGCCCGCGCCGATCTGCAACTGCGCAATGGGGGCGAACAAAGGCGCTGCGGGCCTTTATAGCTTTACGTCACCTGCCGGACGGAGCCCCGGATGCGGCGGCACCGGCAGCGCCGAGCCCGGTAGGGGGCTCCCGAGACCCCCCGGGGCCGGCGCGAGGCTCCCGTCGCGGCCGAGGGACCACGGGGCCCGGATGGGACAGGGTCACAGGGGCGAGGAGTCCCGTCCTGCCAGGAGCGGGGAGCGGGCCGCGGGCCGCAGGCCGCGAGCGGCGGGAAAACAGCGGGAGTGCGCCGTGCGAAAGGAGGGGTAGAGCTTTGTTTGCCGGCTGTGCCTCGTCCCGAAGGATTGAGGCCCCATGTGTAGTGCTGTGTCGTTCTGGACTCCTCAGCACGACAAAGGAGCTACTGGAGATAGTAATCATCACAATAATGATTAGATGTCTGGAGCGTCCCTCTTACGAGGAGGGACATGGAAGCTGGGGCTGTTCAAGAATGAGAGGGGATCTCACTAATGCATATAAAAATCCCAAAGCCAGATGCCATGGGATGGGGATGGTGCCAGAGTCTTTTCAGAGGTGCTTAGTGACAGGAGCAATGGTCATAAACTAAAATACTAGAAGTTCCAGCTCAACATGACAAAGAACTTTGCATTGAGGGTAGCACAACCCTGGAACAGCTGCCCAGTGAGGTCACGGAGTCTCCCTCTCTTGAGACATTCCTGTGTCACCTGCTCCAGGTGACCCTGCCTTGTCAGGGGGATTGGACTGGATGATCTCCCAGAGGTCCCTTCCAATGCTAACTGATTTTGTGAAGCAGCAGATCTATCACTTCTTTGGAAGGAAAATCATAGTAGTATCAGTTAAACTTTGGAGTTTGCAGGAGCTTAACCCAGTTTGCTAAAGCAGCCTTAAAGGCATTTTTAATTAGTTTGATTAATAGATGTGTATGGCAGCACCCCTTCCTTGGAGAATAACAGTAAACCAAAACAAGTGTGATTTAAAATTAAACGTGTTGATGGCACAAATTTTTGCCATTTTTGTTCAACTAACTCAATTTGTTAATTATTTGTACTCAAAGTTCAACTGTGATTTTCTTTGGCTGGCTAAACCTCATAGTGGAAAAGTTAGGAAATCTGCTCATGCACAAATTGGCTAAACTTTCATTATTTGAACCTGAAGATTATCTAGATTTATATTAATCAGTTATCAAGGCCTATTTTCTTAGTGCCACCCAGTCTAACCACCATACAGTCTTTTAAGTTCTACCTTGCAGTTCTTGCTTGCAGTTCTCCAGACCTTCATTCCTGGGAGATGCCACAGAGTCTATGGACTCTAAGGGCACTGCCCAGTGCTGTTATAGTTATGCAGCTGCATAATTGCTACATTCTGATAAGAGAACATCAGACTCTCCTTATCTTCAGTTTTTCAGTCTGTCAGATACTGATATTCAGCTGCTGTTTGTGCTATGGGAAGCAGAAGGCAATGTTGCCTCAGAGAAGCTCATAAATGTGTTAAGAACACAAAAGCGGGGAGCTCTCAAACACTACTGTAAACTCCAGTATGTACTTGAAGATGTCACCTTACCAGTGTGGATGCTCAGAGTTTCTGGATGCTGTTATTGTGAAGGGGGAAAGGGAAAGATGACCTTTATAAGTAGGTGGAACAGCACTGCCTGTGATATCAATGCAGTTGCCAAAGAATGGCATTACCAGATACTCATCCAATTATCATATGAAGAAAAGCTTCAAATTCTAGTTTCAATACAAAACAATTTAAAGTTAGGAGCCTCCCTGGGATGGATAGTGAAAACTAAAGCAAATTGTTAGTCCTGTAAGAAATATGCTAAAAATGGCCTCTGTCAAGGTGGGGTCTCTGTGCTTCTCTGACCCATGGTGTATTTATTGACTGCCACACAACTGGAAAAATAAGCAAATGCAAACAAAAGCCTCTTTTCTGTCACCTCTGATTTAAAGACTAAAATATTTAATTGATGACTCCAGGCTTCATTTTAGTAACATTTTGTTAACACGTACTGAACATGTGGTTAGGTGGGATTAGCATGAACATAATGACATTTGAAACAGCATTTGAACATAAATGCTGTAATTGTATCAGGGCCACCCATTGTTCTAAAAATTTTTCTGACCATTGTTCTAAAAGGAGTCTTCATGAGGCTTCTTATCAGAACTCAGTTGCATCTTCATTGCAAACTGGAATGGTATTTTACAGTCTCTCACTACATAGTGTATGTATGGTCTTGCTCCAAATTCAGTCAGATCTTTTCCTAGAGGATTAAAGGGTACATAATTCTTTGTCACTCTCTTGAATGAATCTCTGCATGTTTAACAGTGTTGTTGAATTTACACTGCAAACTTGTTCATGCAAGTACTATGTACCATGCTCCATATTTTCATCAAACATATTGGCCTTTTACCAAGTTCATCATGCTTTGGTTTTAAACTGGATAAAAAGTTTAGGAGAGCTGAGGGATGGGGACTAATGAATACATAAATAATCTGAACCCAAAAGATTCATTCAGAATTAATAAAAAAGGGAATGTTATTCACTCTAGGTATGCAATCAAAAACTAATAAATGAAAAATGAGCATAATAATTTTATAACAAGGAGCAATTTTCTAGGCACTGTCAGTTGATGGGTGTTTATAGAAATTCAGGAATTTTCCTCTGCAAAACTCAGACTAGCGTAGATGAGAACAGCACAAAATAACTGTTTCTGGCATGGACTTTGTCAGCCATTTCTAAACTGGAACTCCTTAATGTGCTTCTCCCAAATCACCTATTTGGAATCTCATTTTGGCTCCTTTCAGTTGAGCCATACAAGGTGGATCATAGGTCCCTAAGACATAGCTGGACTTGCCTGAAATGACAACTCTAATTTCCAGGCTCAGCTGAAAAAACACGAGAATTCCTGTGCTCCCCCTTATTCTTTTTCTTTTTGCCTGTTGCAGTTCTATGGTAATGGCAATTCACTACATATTGATGAATTGGTTAAAATTAATGGAGGTGGATGTTTTGCAGGGCAATACAAATGTAGTGTCACTGTCCAGAAATGTGAGTAGCAACAGCTTTGCCAAAATGGAAAATACAGAGAGATCGAGGTGTTTGCTACTCAATGATACTTTCTGTATCATTGACAGGAATGCCTTTAGCACAATGTCTCAGACAGCTGTGAGTACCCATCTTACCATGGTAGCACAGAGCTTGCAGCCATCACTTGCACTTACCCTGCTCCTCAGACATGTTTTGCAGCTGTCCCGGAGCACTGCTCCTGCCATCGCCACCTAAACAGCTGACACTGGAGCTTGGCATCATGTTTGTGGTGACCGTGTTGTACCAAGAGGCCATGTTGTGGATGCAAACATTACAGGCTACATCAAAAAAACCACCAAATATAATTCTTCCAGACTGCTATATGAAAACTTGGATTTCCACCCCTAATTTCTGAGCTGGTAATATCTTACTTAAGCCTTTCTCACTTACTCTCTACAACTCCCTGAAAGGAGGATGTAGCCAGGTGAAGAAGATCTGGCTGCTCTCAGGTAACAAGTGACAGGATGAGAGGACATAGACTCGAGTCTTCAGGGGGAGGTTTAGGTTGGACATAGCAGGAATTTCTTCACAGAAAGGGTACTTAGACATTGGAATGGGCTGCCCAGGGAGGTGGTGTAATCACTGTCCCTGGGGATATTTAGAAAGACTGGATATAGTACCCAGAGCCGTGGTGTGGTTAACGTGGTGGTGTTCAGTCCTGTGTTACATTCGATGATCTGAGGTATTTTCCAACCGAATTGATTCTGTGCTTTTTGCTGGGGGCTAAAACTTGAAAAGAGATTCTGGTATCATAGAATCCTAGAATAGTCCGGGTTGGAAGGGACATTCAAAATTATCTGATTTCATTAACCCTACCCTGCTCGCCACGGGCAGGGACACCTTCCCCTAGTCCAGGGTGCTCCAAGCCCCCTTCAATCTGGCCTTGAACACTTCCAGTGATGGGGCATCCACAGCTTCTCTCGGCAACCTGCGCCCGGGCCCCAGGCCGCGCACCCACCCTCGCAGGGAGGCATTTCTCCCCAGTGTCCCGTCCAACCCCTGGCAGCGGGAAGCCGTTGCCCCTTGGCCTGGCGCCTCCGGTTCTTCAGAGTGGCCTCCCCCAACATGGCGCCCGGCGCTTCCCTCTTCACCGCGCAGCCGCTGTGGCCCCGACCCGGCCGTGACGCGGCTGCCGCCGCCTCCGCAAGGCGCTGCCCGGGGCGGTCGGGGCTGCAGCTGCGCCTCATGGTGCCTTTGCCCATCCAGGCTGCAAGATGAGGCTGCTGGTTGCCGCACTCTTGCTGGTGGCGCCTCTCGGCGCCGCCTTCTACCTGCCTGGCTTGGCGCCTGTCAGCTTCTGTGAGGAGAGCGAGCAGACCGAGAGCTGCAAGGTGAGAGCCCGCACGGGAGGGCCCGACGTGGGCCGTCCCCTCGCTGTGCCCCACGCGGGGCTCCCGCGGCGAGGGGACTCCGCGGGGTATTCCCAATCCCGCTGCTCATAGGTGTAGTCCCGCGGGCGGCAGCCTCTGCACCTGGAAGACAGGCACCCCTAACTGGCATTCCCTTTTCCCGCTGAACTTTACAGCCCAGCGCTGGGAGGACCCTTAGCTCCTTCTTCCTGGTGTGGCCGGGGCCTGTCAGCAGCCAAGGGTTACTCCGTCATGGGGTAGCAGTATTTGCTGGTTAGCCTCGCGTTTCATACCGGCCATACGTTTGTTTCTGAAAGTCCGTATTTTCATGCTTTTTCTCCTTTCCTGTTTCAGTCACTCATTGAGCTCTTCGTGAACCGGCTAGACTCCGTTGAATCAGTTCTGCCATACGAATATGATGCGTAAGTACATCCCAATACTTTTCCAGAAGTGTTTGGAAAGACGATTTTCTGTTACTGTAAGGGTGTCAATATTGTGGCTGTAGGGATGGAAGAGTGAATCCGGTGCTCAGTGGCAGGAATTAAGTACA